CTCTCTCTCTCTGAAAGTGGTGATTGACCCAATACTTAACTGTCTCCTGGTCATGTAGATGAATACGGACGTCGAAATTCACCTTTGTTTTTCCTGAAGTCCTCATTTTGGTCACAACAACAAAAGGCTGATCACGTGGCCCTGGAAGATGACATAGATTCCGATCTTTCATCCAATGACTCTTTCGAACCAGTATCTCCAGAATTCCATGGGAAAGAAGCCATCAGGTAACAAGGATGCAAAGAGAGAACAGGCCAAAGGCTGGGAAGCTCATAGTTAGCACCTGACGCAGCAAAGTTCTCTTGTGCTCTGCAGACAGTTCCCACCGACCCTCGCCTGTGCTGCATCTATCACTTCCCACTTCAAGTTCAAAGAAAAATTCCTTCGTCAACCCCTTGTGTCTTACATTATTGACATTCACACTAAATAAAGACTTAAATTTCACCAACAAAAATAATTCAACAAAACCCTTGCCTGGATTCTCAGTGTTTTGTCTTTTCTTTTCTCCACCCTGAGCCTCCCTCATTTCTTTGCTTCGTGTCATCTATTCACACTTTGTCCCCACCTCATTTGTTATACTCCCCGTTTTTTCTCTCAAATTTTTTAAACTTCTCTTTCCTCTTGCATTTATTGTCTTTTATTTATCTTATTAACTCCTCTTACTATCATTCCTAATATTTATTGTCTTTTAAAACAAGATGAAAGAGTAGGGAAGAGGAAAGGAGGAAAACCCTGGAGACAGACAGTGGGGGTTTGGGCAGAGGGGCTCTTTGGAGTCATGCATAGCTTCATTCTGTGTTTGGTGCTGGTAACTTTTATTTCTAAATGAAAAAACAGGAAGAAAGTCAAGGTCCCTGATGGTTCAAGTCTCACGCAGCTATCAATGACCAGCCAGGGTCAGTCCCCTGTGAACTCTTCCAGATTATGAGCTACTGAGCTTCTAGAGCCGGTTTCATTTTTCATCTTAGCCTGTTCCATATTTATCTTCCATACACTCATATCTGTCCTTCAGCGTGAGCTAGGTTTAGCCTCCAGCAGAGCAGCTCAGAGCAAAGCAATGGCTTTATTTGATGTGTTTGTGTGTTTTTTTTGTTTCTCTTCAATCTCTTTAGCATGTCACCCAACTAATAGTGGAATGGCAATGAAACGGGATTGAAATGAAAATAAGAAGATAAAACTAATTAAACAGTTTTAAATGAATGGAGCCTGGATCATTTGAGGAATAGTAGATGACAAAATAAGAAACAAAAATTCATTTTGGCTTATTGATTATATATATCTAACAGGTAGAATAAAACCATACAGGTCATGCCTAGGATTACAGATCTATAATAGCATCCAGCATGTGTTAATTCCATTCCTTTCTATTGCTATACTCATCATCATCTAACCAATATCATCTTACCTTTATTGAATGTTTACCATGGACCAAGCTCTGTACATGCAAGATGAAATATTTTATTTGCCCTGCACTCCGATCCCAAAGTATCATAAATTTTCATGTTGTGAAAGCTGAAACTTAGCTGGAATAAGTATATTGGTTAAGGTAACAGAGCACTAAGTGGTAGAGAGATGGGATGAGCTCAGCTGGGTAGGACTGTGAAACCCATGCTCTTGCTATGATGATATATTGCTTCTCTTCTTAGTCTACCTCTTACTAAACCTCTGGAGAGGTGATTTTTTTTTTTTGCAGCTTTAAAAAGTGTAACTTTATTAATGTAATAATGACTTATAAGACAAACACAAAAAAATGCTCAACATCTCTAATCATCAGGGAAATGTGAATCAAAACCACAATGAGATATCACTTAACTCCAGTGAGAATGGCTTTTATCAAAAAGCACCTCTGGAGATCTTGACTGAGCAGTCAAAGATACCCCCAATCTGTGCCAGTGGTTCACAATGAGCCTTTGGGTATTGGGTGTGCATGTTTTCTCTAGCTTCTTTAGCTTTGCAGTTCAGAGATGATCCTGTTCTCCAATACGAACATTAGGTTATGCTCCGATCTATGGAATCAGAACCTCTGCTGATGGGTTCCAAGCACAGTTAAAGTTTTAAAACCCCTCAGGTAAAGTGCAGGCAGCATGGGTAAGTGATACTTTAGTTGATTTTGTAACACAACCGTGACTGCAGGAGAGTGAGGTCCCAGATATTCACGTACCCTGAAGATAAGATTCATCCAATCCCATCAACCAAACACAGAATTACAAATTGAAGAAAATTGTCATCTTGAAGTATCTGTCCTCTTTTTTCTTTCAGAATCAGAAATGTTACAAAAGAATATAAAGGAAAGCCAGATAAAGTAGAAGCCTTGAAAGGTAAAGAAAGAGAGAGAGAGAGAGACAGAATCTTTAAGCTATTACATTGATATTGATTTCCTGATTTAATTCAATTTGTTTTGCTTTGGGTCAGCAGTTAGTGGTGATATTTCAGATTTGAAAAGAGTTATTCGTGCCACATGAGAAATTTTTCCTCTTAACACATTACTTCTACTTTATGTTTTAGAATTATATGTATTTAAAATCTACACTGTATGATACTGAGGTAGCCTAAGGATATTCTGGGTTTTTTTCCTGCAAACTCAAATTTTTCTTCTGGAATGAAAAATCTATTGGTAGATATTGTATGTTTTTCTTCTGTGCAAAAAAGTTATTTACCTTAAAGAAGTTTTGGGCATGTAAAATTTGCTGTTAACCTATTCTTCATTCAATAAATATTAACATCCACTTATCATATCCCAGGCAATGTCAATTAACTTAGCAAATAAACATGTTTCATTAATTTAAAC